TCTGTTTTTCGTTTTTATGTTCATTAGAGTGGAAATAAAGCCTTGTTCACAAAGGTAGGTTGTTGCAAATTGCAGCAATTTTTTTACCGCCTCCTCATGTGCAATTTTCAAAGCCTTTGCAGCCTTTGACAACCAAAAAGACGACAGATTTACTTTGGTCTCAAATTGAATACGTGTTTCAGTATTGGATCGAAGTTCAAGAATTGCCTCTGCCAAACCTTGAAGTTCTTCTGGTATGTTAGTAATTTCACATTTAAAAGGATCTACAACCCAATTTACAGTTTGTACATCAAAATCTGGAAACTAGTCATAGAACCGCTCTCTGAGTTTGGTAAAATGAAATTAGAAAAATTTCCCTATTACCCAAAAAAAAAAATTTTTACCCCATTTTGGGTAATTTACCCCGGTTCCCCGACCGCTGCTCTAAATCGAACATGCAAAAACCCTAATCAGACAATCTAGATTCTAGAAGAAAAACATTCTTTCTAAAGCTAATAGCAAGTTAACATTACTGTTATTCAACTATTGAATAAAATCTCGTTTTTAGAGAAACACATTAGAAATGTATTATTGCTAAATTGATGATGTAATATTTATGGTTAAGCGCTCGTGGGACGCAGGTTGCTGACCCTTGTTGTAACTAATAAAATTACCGTTTCTTTTTTTGTATAGCAAGAGATAAAACTAAGTTTAAATTGATTTGTAGACCCAAACGTTGTACTTACGTTGTAAATTTTATATGGATCTAAAAACCGATTGCGCTTGACTTTGAGTCCGTAGAAGGATTCCTTCTGCTTCACCTCGACCTTCCCCTTCCTCACCAACGGCTTATACTTCCCCGAGACAAAATCCCACAACCTACTGGCGTTTTTATCTTTGCGCCTCCGGAGATCGTGCGAACTCAAGCTCTCTCTCAACTTCAATTTAGGCTCGTCCTGTTTTTTGGGTTTCGGTTCAGGTTTCAATTTTCGTTTGGGTTTCTTTGGTATCGGATCTGGGAGATCTTTACGTTTCGAATCTTTGGGTTTTGGATCTGGAAAACCTTTGGGTTTCGGATCTGGAAAACCTTTGGGTTTCGGATCTGGAAAACCTTTGGGTTTCGGATCAGGTTTCTCTATGACTTTCCGTTCAGGCGCGTCTTTGCGCTTCGAAGGATTTTTCTTTGGTTTCGGATCGGTTTTCCGGCCTCTCTGCCTTGGCAATTTCATTTCGAAACCGCCGCAGACGTTGTTGATGAAATTGGCCATGAAACCGGGCGAAGATCTATTCTTGCACAATTCACCATCGCTTTTGGTCGACTCAATCAGCGAATCGTTTCTGGTATTATTGGTTGAACTGCTGTTCATCGTCCCGCCTCATCTTCGTCAAATGCAACCGAACGCATTTCCCTCGACAACGATCAAAAACACGTGCATTACGTCACATTACAACTGACAACCGAATTGTCACATGCTCGATTCGAAAAAAAAAAACAACAAAATAAAAGCAATAGACGACAAAAGGCGAACTTAAATTAATGTAAAGAAAACTTACGGGATGCAAAATAATAAATAATGAAATTTCGAAGAGCAGCCAATAATACATTCTATATTTTAAGAGTAAAAGAACATACCCTGTAGTACTTAGTGTTAAGTGCATGATGGTCGTGTGCGTCAAGTATTTTTGGTGGAAGAGACTGGTTTCCATAAGTGCTCTTAAAATAAACTAGTTAATACTCTTTTTCCTACATGAGAACATATCAAAACGTTTGTAGAACAAATCATAAATTTTACTTTAATAAAGATATCAATTTATAGAACAAAATTTAAAGTTGTCGATACTTTTGACGTATTGAAAAAAAAGTTGAACATATGGAAAAGATTATGAAACAGTCCAGAAAGTTAGTCATGTTTTTGATACATTGAGAAAAAGTTGGCTGTAAAACTAATAAAAAAGTTTATGAAACAGTCCAGAAAGTTGGCCATGTTTTTGATACCTTGAGAAGAAGTTGGCTGTAGAACTTATAGAAAATTTATGAAACATTCCAGAAAGTTAGCCATGTTTTTGATACATTAAGAAGAAGTTGGCTGTAGAAGATATAGAAAGTTTATAAAACAATCCAGAAAGTTGGCCATGTTTTTGATTCATTAAGAAGAAGTTGACTGTAGAACATATAGAAAAGTTTATGAAACGGTCCAGAAAGTTGACCATGTTTTTGATACCTTGAGAAGAAGTTGGCTGTAGAAGATATTGAAAAGTTTATGAAACAGTCCAGAAAGTTGGCCATGTTTTTGATTCATTGAGAAGAAGTTGGCTGTAGAAGATATAGAAAAGTTTATGAAACAGTCCAGAAAGTTGGCCATGCTTTTGATTCATTGAGAAAAAGTTGGCTGTAGAAGATATAGAAAAGTTTATGAAACAGTTCAGAAAGTTGGCAATATTTTTGATTCATTGTGACTATAGAAAAGTTTATTAAAAGTTGACGATGCTTTTGACACATTGTAAGTAAATTGTCTGAAAAAATATACCAAAAGTAACGTTTTCAGACAAATCTATCACGAAATAAAATTGAAAAAAAAAGGAGAAATTCTCTTTCATATTCAAATGTTTCTATTGAATTGAGGTCGTGGAAGCATATATAATCAACACGTTCAATTATCGATGAGGAAAGCAATTGATTAATTTGTGCAATAAATGAATATTGATTAGCACATCGTTTAAATATGCAAAATTGAAGCCCAAAAACTTTCATTTATATAAAAATCAATTGATTTCAAATATTTGTTGATAGTAATGCATAAATAATACTATTATTATTATCAAATGCGATAAGTTTATCAAAACGTAGAGATTATTCAGAGTAATAGTAAAACATGGCAAATCAATGCGTTCATTCTAATCTAAAAATAGTCAACATACACAAGAATTTAACGGTTTAACATTAGCTTCTCGAATCGTCGACACATGTCGAAACAGTTTGCAATTCCGTCAATTAAAAAAAAAAGCAATTAATTCGCCAAGGACTCTTTTTCGCAACGTTTAATCCTTAATTGATCAAACGCATAACTAAACCGCCCACGCAAATTAAACATTATTCGGTCTACTACGACTATTCATCAATTTGTTGTTAATTGAATTAACAAAATTTCACTTACACTCGATTCGATTTTTTCAACTTTCTTCGCCTCTATCACCGGTTCCTCGATGGCCTCGATTTCCTCCTCTTCGGCTGCACCTTCATCCAGGGTCGGATAGATGCTGGCCGTCTTCCATTGCGATGGGTCCACCTGCCATCCGTAACCATTTCCATGCCAACCGTAACCATTGACAGCGGACGGAGGTTGTTCGTATTTTAAATTCGGGTAGGCGTTATTGTACTGCTCGAACTGGATGAACGTGCTCGGATACATGTTTTCAAAACTCTATCTGCAATAACATACAAAAATCAATATCAAAATAGTTCACAATTGGGACAAATGCAAAGGGAACATCGAATTAGATTCAAATTGCAGACATAGTTCGGATGTCTTTTTACAATTTTGTAAAATTTTCATTTTGAATAGATTATTATACAAATATATTTTGTCTACCAAATTCAATTCAATAAATTTATTACTGTAAATACACTCTTTTTTTTTTCAATGAGACTTCAAAATCCATCGACAAAAGTTTTTCAACAAATTCAATTCACAATACACATTTTCCTCTCTCTCTTCATTCGCGAAAATGTTTGTACTAAAAAGAAATGCAAACTGCGTCTTGTTTACTCCAATTGACAGGTTTCAGTCACGAGACTTAAAACTATACCATAAAAGTAAAACTAATAAACATACATTCGCAAGTCACTTATAAGAAATAATCATGAATCATTCGGTATAAACATTTTTAAGAATTGAAGCAATTTAAAGCTCAAATGTAACTGATTCATAAGTGTTGTTATTAAGATAAATTCACGTAAATATCCATAAGATTTTCTTTTTTTTATAAAGTTTTAGCAAATTTATAGTTAATTTACAAAAATTCATTAATCGAAAGTCAAAGTGTTGTTGAAAATTTTCTATTTGAACTCAAATTTATTTTATGAAATAATTTTGATATAAATAACGGACAAATTCAAAACTCTTCATTATGCAATTGATATTGTTGTGATTTCAGGTTGAAGACACAAATAACTTTCATTATTTATTCAAAGAGGTTTTGTATTGTTGTTAAATTAACAATAACATATCAATTACATTAAGGTTTTCGCAATTTCAATTATTGAGTTCCTTCGAGGCGGAGGAGACTGACCCAGATTTTCGTATGGAAGGAACCGGTCGGTGATTGAGCAAAACAATGCCGAAGAAAAAAGGCGATAACCTTGCGTCGGAATATGAACCATAATTAATATACTTAATGCTCGACCTTAAAAAGAAAATTACCTTAAAAGGTAACGAATATTCGTGTTCTACTTTATTAATAACAGATTTGCTGTTTAAGTTTTTTGTTGTTTTTTATAAAATTGAAATTGTTTCCATGGTTTTACTTAGCATTTGTTGTTGATTTTTTTTTATTGTTTACATTATTGAAATTGTTTCCATGGGTTTGCTTAGCTTTTATTGTTACTTAGATTACTAATCAATTAAAGCGTACATTTTGTTACATGATGTTTATGTTACAAAAACTAGTACGTGAGGGATTTACGTCTCAGTTTGTTGAGTAAAATTATGATATCATGTGGTGACATTGATAAACAAACTTAAAGTAACTTCTTTTTGTACTGTTTACTAAATAATGAGTAACTTGCTTTGATGATTTCACTTACAATTTGGTTCCACTTAAAACTATTAATCTATTATCGAAGCAAATATGAAAGAGAAATATTTTTTTGTAACTACTTTATGTTATAACAGCTAACTCGTGCGAGTTTTAAATAATGTTTATTTACACTATAGTAGTTATGATTTCACATAATGACAAAAAGATTGAACATTTTGTCAGCGTGTCAGTTTACTTATTGTGGTGTGAGTAAAGTTGTGAAATCATATTGCGTAATGTAATGATAAGAAAGATTATATTGTTTGTATACAACAATTCAAAAGGATTTAATCATTTCTTTCACTATTCAATTGTTTTCAAATTAATTTTAAAGAGAAACACAGATCTACTGAGATTATTAAAATATTGTTGAAGCAATTATTAAAGAGGAACACTTTTTAGATGTTCTTTATGTTATTACTACTAACTCACGTCTCAGTTTATTTATTCTGTAGTGAATACTGTTAACTTAAGAAACTCAATTAAATGAGTTAAAGACAATACAAATTATGTTTTATTAAAAAACACCCAATGCGTGGAAGAAATTGTTTTTCGATTAACAAATGTTAAAGAAGACACAGAGAAGCATTAATTTTATATTTTTCTGACCAGACTATTTTAATAAATTATTGGATATGGAAACATTGAGCAACCTTGGATGATATAATAACATAAGTGTAAAAACGTTAGCGTTAGTCTGTGTGAAGACGACTAAATCTCTTTTATGCGCAGACTGTTTCCTGTTGTTTTGTCTGTTTATTCTGGCGCCATTGAGAGGAGAAAAACACGTCTTCCTGTTGGGAATCAATGGCCAATGTAGGTCATAAAATGAGATTCCCTCTCCGAATCGATAATCGCGTGACCTTGACTACGAACATCCAGGATTCAGGTGCAAGGATCGTTGTAAAATACAACATTTTAATCAAGTTAACTGTTATCATCTGCTTCGCTTATCTAGACGTGTAGTTACGCAACGCGCAAGAAGTATTTTTGGGGCATCGAACCGTTTCATGGTAAAAATAGATGTTGTTGTTGATGACACGTCCCCAGGAGAACAACGACGTTTGCGACCTTGCAAACATCTATGGTTTATTTTTTAATTTTCTTGTGTCCCCGAAGAGATGCGAACTCACCTATTTTAATTACGAAAATGCGGAATTGCGGTATCCTGGGTGTAATTACTACTCTAATTCGCACGCACGCACATTTGGTTGGACACTTTCAATTCTGTGATGTCGATGATTCCACTGTCAGGACATCCTCGACGTGTTTTCTTTATACAGACGTCGCTCTTTTCGGTATCCTTTTTGATGATCCGAATAGCTTTGATTCACTGTTATTTCTGTTTGGAGCGGAGCATGTTTGCTCGCCGTCGCAGCTACTTCAAAGCCGAGGCACGCCGAGATCCTATATTCCGGCTAAAGTCGGATACTTTCCGAAGTCCTCCGCGATGACCTCATGACAAACGCTGCACCTTTCACCTGAAAATCGAAGAGAGAACCCATGACGTACGATGATTAACACCAGCTCCTGGGAATTAACAATTCTTAGATCACACTCGAAAGAATGCAGAACAAAATCTGCAGAAATAACTCTTCCATCATTCAACATTCAATTTGAAATATACGAAGTTTTAAGAACAAATATGTTAATGTTTGATCCAGTGTAATGAAACTCTTATCACGTCCTACTTACGTAAAGAATATATGCATTACATTTAATTTTGTTAGTGCAATAATTTTCAAGATTAATGATGATCAAACGCTTTTCTCTCGAGCAGTGTAAATATTTTGGATTCGTTGTACCGAAGTTAATTTGTCTCTACTCCGAAATCCACTCTATTTATAATCCAGATTGGCAGCCAAAAAGGAAAGCTTTATTGCATTTTTCAACCCACCAAGAATAAAGACAACTAATTCCATTTATACAGAAAAAATAGTCATGTTTATTGCTTGGTGAGTATGTGTGAACTGCAATTCTACTCAGCCTTGACGAATTTATCATGGACAATTGTAAACAATAATTTGTTGTATATGTGATCCGTGTGAATAATTCTGTAAGGTCATGACGCAATCAGCTTTACTCGCTACGATTGTACCGACTCGGCACAAGAACCGAACCAAATTTTAAGTACAATACTAAATCTCTCTTATAACCAAATGTTTACTTCCTGTGGTAGCGACGTCGCTATGAAACGATTCAATTCAAAACGAATGTAAATAATATTACGCAATGAAAGTAACCAAAATTTGTCTCAATTGCGTTAATAATTTCAAGATTTGACTGGAAGCCAAATGTTAACAACGATAGTGTTATAACACAATTATAAATAATATTATGTAATCAAAGTAAGGTAAATATTTGTGTCTTTCGATTTGATAATTTGAAATTGCTACGTGTCTTCTCGCGTAGCCAAATTGTTTACTTCCTGTGACACAAAGGTTTGTTACGAAACGTTGCAATTGAACGCAATTATAAATAATATTTAAAAAAGTAACGAAATTTAAGGTCAATGTGTATCTTTCGATATTATGAATGAATGATGGCAATGTGAAGACTCAAATTATGAAATAACTATCGAAATTTATACGTGTCGTCAAAATGTTTACTTTTTGTGACAACGACGATAATTATGAAACCAAAACAACGAGATTTTAGGTAAACATTTGTGGCTGTTTATCTATAATTTTTAGATTTGATTAATGAATTATGGAATTATGATCTAATCTAGATTCAAATTACGAAATGTATGCGAATTTTCGTACATTTGCCTCGTGTCGCAGTCAACTGCAATGAAGATGCGCACAACTCGACCTCGAAACACATTCCAAATAAATGTATTGTATTACTTAACGATTCGATTAAACACGGTCGCAGCTACTGGACAGTTAATAACCTTACGAAATTCTCTTATTTGAGTTGCTCTTCCAAAATGCATTTAATCCCAACTTTATGTAAAGTTAGTCTTAAATTTGTATTTTAATATTGGTAATAAAATAATAATAATCTTTATTACAGTTAAAAACAAAATTAAACATTTTCATTCAGAACAATAATAATAGTAAAACAAAAGATTAACAGTTACAAAGGGCTATTGATCATAGGTCTTTCTGCCCAATTAAAGAAAATCAAGTTAAAAAAATCAATAGTACTAAAATCTGAAAATTTTTATATTTTAACAAAATTTAAATACAATTTCTATTATATAATAAATATGTAAATGTCGTAGAAATAATTATATTTTACAATATATTTCTCTAATTGAAGTAATTATTAATAAACAGCGGACAATTGCTTGAACTACAAACTTTCAAATAAAACTTAGAGATGTCGCTGAAGAAAATATTCTTAGTTATGCAACTCTACAAACATATGGTTTGTTTGAAGATGCGCCATCTAACTATGACAATTTCAAGGTTGGAAGATGAAAAATTGTGAAATAAGGATTTAAATGTATATTTCACTTAATTAAAATGATGCTAATTTATAATACATTTACTTTAATTAATTACTTTGGTATTTGTTAACTTAAATAACACAAAATTTAACGAAGCTGCCATCTTTCGGTGTGCGAAAGAATTGTTGATGAATTTGAATTATGTTAATCGATTTAAATTAGAAATTATATTATATTATATAATTGGTGTTTATTTCTCTGAATTGGTCATTAATTTAAATTAACATTTCGGACTATAAACGAAAATTAATAAAGAATAATAATATAATAAAGTAAGAATTAAAATTGATTTAATATGCGCGTAGGGTTGGGAATGAATGAAATGGATGTGATCTTTAACATCTATTTATATATTTCAGTTGATATTCCAAATAGCACAGCATGTTCCATAAACTTTGCCACGGGTTGTATATGCAACACGCGGTGGTAATCGAAGGAATATCAAGACATCGTATCTAACCACCTGTATCTTTCTTTTGTTTTTTTAAATTTTTTTTTAGTAGAGAGCTGAGTGTGGTTGAGAAGCTGCACTCTGCCGCAAAATCAAAACGGTTCTGGTTGCATTTGTTTTTGAAACAAAAAAACAAATCGATGAGTAAAGTAAAAAAGAAAACAACAACAACAACCTTAGTTCAACTTCCATCAATCCCACTCGTTTCCTCCACACCGTACAATAGTAGTAATACATCAATTATATATGTTATATACAATTCTCTCTTTTTTTTTTGTTTAGGAATAAAGCTTACTCGCCCAATATTTCTTTTCTTTTAGTCGATTCACTTACATATAAATAATCTTAACTAATCTGTAACTAATATATAATCCTTATAATTCCTTTGTCTTTCACTTCCAAATATATATATATATATAACAAGTAATATATATATATGTAACAAATAAATAAAATACATCCAGCACCAATAAATGTGTTTCTCTTACATTCCCTTTTTGTTAACAAATCTCTTTCCACTTAAACATATTTAAAAAAATAATACCATATCTTCAACCACAACCAGAGTTTAGTTTCTTTTCGTTCCTTCTCCCATATTTCATATAAATATTCGTTAATGTATTTACTTTTCATCATCCTCGTTTTGTTTATTATTATTAATATTAATATATCATCATTATTAATTATCATAATTTTTTTTCCTTCATTTTTATAAAATTGAAAAGCGAAATGAGCAAAACTTCAAGTTATTCCACAACCATTTTTTTTAAATGTACTACCGACTGAAGCCCAAACGAAAGAATCAATAAAAATATATTTTTTTTTTGTTTCTTGTTGTTATTAAACATTTAATTACGTATTATTATTATTTTTTTGTAATAATTTTCTGTGAAACTAACGCTCTAAACAAACAATTTTTGGACATCCGCGAATGCTGTATGTGCTCTTAGGTGGATGGTCGTGTTTATCGTCTAGCTGGGAGCCTCACTGATGATGTATCAATAAGAAAACATCGAAGCAGGTTGATGCGATCATCCACGGAGGATCCAGCATGCGCGGATCTTTCATCATCAGTGGATTAGTGGTGGATCGAGTAATGGACTGATGATGAGTACCCTGTTCATATATGTCTTCGCTTAATGGAGAGAGTACGTTAATTTCTCTGCATCAAGTATATGTATTTCATTAATAGTAAGTTCATTTAGAGACTAACAGTATATAGCTGTTTCACATCATAGTAGTCACATGTACTAAATCTAAATTACTCGTTAGTGGACAGGACTTCTAATTCCAATTAGGAAGAAAGTAAAGTAAATAAAAGTTAAACAAAATACCAAAAGGAGATCCAAGTTCGAGGCTTCTGTTTGTTTTGTTCAGGGGTCGTAACATTCACAACCGATAATCAATCACTCGCTGTTCTCGACAATATAATTTTCGTTAAACAATACTGCATCAAAGTTTCTGATAAAAATATATATATTTTCATTCTCTTTGCTTGACTCTGTGATATTGTACTTTCCGTTTTCCCTGCCGCTCCTAAACCACACCACAAAATAATTCCTCGAAGCCAACAAGATCAAGCGTTAACTTTTGAAGAAACAAAAAAAAACAAAGAAGAAAATAAAACGAAACTATTATTTTTGTTGGGGTTTTCTTCAAATGAATAAATAATAATCACTGCGCTTAACAGCTAATCTCCGATGTGTTTTTGTAGTTCGAAGATGGATTCGGGAAGGTTCCGTTCTGCACGATCCCGTTTCCCGTTAACTCGCCCTTGGGTTTTACGTTCGCGTACTTGGCCTGCTTTGCCAAAGCCGCTGCGTCCAAGGAGATGCCCGAGTTTAGATTGGAGTCGGCTTTCGCTGATATGGACGAGGCTTGTTGCTGTTTATGATTGACCTCTTCGGCATCGATCTGCAAATGAATAGTAAATTGTAACGAAATTGGTTTGGATTTAAGCATTTCGTCTCACCAAATCCAGTGCTTCCTCGCTGTTGACCTCGGATTCTTGTAGTAGAGGCTGCGTCGATTTCGATTGTGGTAGAACGAATGATGTCTCCCAGCTCTCGAACTTCTCAGGTAACAGTTTATCTATCGAGGATGTCGATCCTGTGGGTTGATGCTGCGGCACCGGTATTGGCGTATGATTTGGTATCAGGTAGTCTGCAGATTGTGGAACCTAACAAGATAATAAAAAAAAATTAGTAACAACTCAATTGTATAATTATAAAAATTGAAGATAAAAATTTAGTCGTTTACATCTTAAACGCATATTGCATTTCTTTTAGAATTTCGTACGCAAAGACTTTGATTAAATACAACAGTGGTTGATTTGATTGGATGAAATAATAGAGAATAGTATTGTTTGGTTTTTATAATGAACATTTAACAATGCTGTCGTTGATTTGGAGATGATTATATGTATATTTCAGACAAACTAAAAGTTTGGAATCGCTGTTCTCGTTAATTAATGAACGAGTGTTTTGAATCGAGATTAATTAAACGGCAATACCTGCAGACAATTGTCGTCGGATGAGTTGGGTCTCATGACGGTGGCATCCCTTTCGTGCGAAGGCGGACGATTGAAGATGGGTAGAGGAGCGCTCATGACCTGCGGATCCTGTACACAATAGCCTAGCCGCTCCAAAATCAACGTGAACGTGGGTCTTTGTTCGGGAGTCGGATGCCAGCATTGGGTCATGATACCGTAGATCGGTCCAGGACAATTGGCCGGAGGCTCCAACCTCCCGCCGCTCGTCACCAGCTGCATAACATCCCGATTCGCGCATCCTGTATAAGGCATGTAACCCATAGACATTATCTCCCAAAGAAGTACACCGAACGACCAAACATCTGTTTTACTCGTGAATATACCATCGAGGAAAGCCTCCGGAGGCATCCATTTGATCGGAAGCATCGCTTTACCACCTTTCCTATAGTAATCAGACCTGCAAAAACGAAAGCAGTTAACCAAAACCATTTCAAATGTTAACAAAAATAATACCTGTAGATATCCCGTGACATTCCGAAATCTGCGATTTTCACAACACGACCTGGACCTTTCGTGGTCAACAAACAGTTCCTAGCCGCAATATCCCGATGGATGAACCTGTTATCTTCAAGATATTTGCAACCTTTCGCGACATCTACAGAGATCAGAACCAAATCCTTCATGGATAGTGGACTTCCCCTCTCCGGCTTCGGTCGCGACTCTCTTAGGAAGTTTTTCAGGTCACCTCCGGCGAGTAATTCGAGCACGATGAACCGCGGATGCTTATCGAAGCAAACTCCGATGAAATGCACGATGTTCGGATGGTTGAACTTGGACATTATCAGCGCCTCCATCAGGAAATCCATTTCCGCCTGATTCGTTGACATCTCCGGTAAAGTTTTCACAGCGACAGGAAGCTCCACCGTATCGCCGGATCTTTGCCTATAGAAACCCTGATATACCTCTCCAAAAGCACCTTGTCCGAGGGCCTTAACCAATCTCAGCTGATCCCGAGGTATATCCTTAAGATCTTTCAACGTGTAAATGACACCTCCGAACTCGTAATTCGGATTGTATTCTGTCATCATGCTGTCCGAAGCAATTCGAAGACGATTCAACTGCAAATCCGGACCAGTGAGCATTTTTCGGCGCATCACCTCTTCTGTCCTCTTCTGGTAACGATTATCTACAAAACATATAACATCAATAACAATTTCTAAATGATTTTATTAACAACTTACACATTCCAAAGCAGATGCATCCAATGGTTATAGTCACAACTGCAACGGCGACAACGAGCACATGGGTGTACCAAGCTGGATAACTTTGTCCGTTATCGCCTATTAAGCAAATAAAATGGATTTAGTTCGGTTGAAAATGTTTGGGTTAATGAGTGAATGAAATACTTGGCAAGCAGGTCCTTCCATTATCGTCCAGAATCCACGTTTTTGGACATATGCACGTCGTTAATGAACGCTTTGCATCGAGCGCCAAACATCTGTAATCGCATAAGCATCCTGGCACTGCGGGAATGATGAAGATTACTCCAGGTCCTCGATGGTATCCCGACTCTACTTGAGAGTAATTCGACAGGGATTTCGATGTATCGATATACGAATATCCTCCTTCTCCGTTCGTTGTATTTGATGATCCACCTATTATTAAAGAGTAATTTAACTATCAGAATTAGATATTATAAAACTATACCACATGTTTGAAGACCTACCTATCATCAAGTAGTAATAGTAATATGAATAAATATCAAAATTTATATACTTGTTTAAGATAGATGTTTTCTATACTTTAATGTAAATAAAACAATTACCTGAATATCCTCCACCGCCGCCTCCGTAAACGCATCCTCCTCCCCCACCGCCGAATCCACCATTCCCTTGTCCTTGTGTAGATGTATAGCAGGCTTCGCCTCCGAATGCTCCGGAGAGGAAGGCTTGACCCTGTCTCGACTGATGATCCAGTGCTATTTTCCCTGGATACGGCTCCCATCCACCACCAGAACCAGCGGATCTTTCAAACCAAACATTCAATAAAACTCTCCGACATAAGCACATCAAATCTACTCACTTCTCTCCATACATCTTCCCCGAAATTGCTGCTCTGGTGTTGTTGATACCCTGTCCATGCTGGAGACCGGTATCTTCGAATTTTCCAAACCCGATGCCTCCGCCGCCTGAAGCTACGGCGATCGGTATAAAATCTCTGGTTTTCTTTGATTTCTGAGAAAAAAAAAAAGAAATAAACACCGACAAGTTGTTGTTAATAAAGTTGATGGTTACAATGAAGAGGAATGTGGCGCCGCCTCCTCCTCCACCACCATCGGCGATCTCCATGTTGAGGACGCCTCGGATTCCGGAAATATTATCGTAATTAGTCCCTCTCATCGGTCGACAAGCCGAACTCGTCTTGTCGCCTAATATCTTGACGCACGCACTCGTCCCTTCCTGTCCTATCAACATGTACAGCTCTTGCCCTTTCCTCAGCTCCAACACGACACGGATCATTGCACCCTTCGATGAACCCATACCGCTGCTACCTTTACCACCGCTTGCTCCATACAAAATAAACCTAAAATAAAAGAATTACACAATAAGAAAATATGAAAACGTCTACAGCAATTTATTCGAATTACAATTAAATTGCGTTAAATCTTTCATTGCTTCATTACATTTGGTTTGAATTTTATTTTAGTGATTCATTTAATAAAATCGGAAAACGTTTTGCAACATATTTTACAATGAATATTGCAGCTATTATTAGAACATGGTTTGCATTTAATATGATTCTACTTCACTGAATAATTGTAAAAGTGTAATAACGTTATTTAATAGACCGTTATGTAATTACATCAAAAACTATCATTACGCAGATGATAGGTTTTAATTAATAATTTGATGTAACTGCTTGGGTTATGGCATTAATTTATGAATGTCTGTTTATATGTAATATATACTGTGCACACCCGATGTAACAGTTACAAATGGTCCATAACTGTCCCATTTACCATGCTTTTCGCGCAAACACAGAGCAAGAGAGAGAGAGAAGTAAGCAATTATAATGAAACATACGTGTAATAATTATCGGAGGGGACGATCCATCTCTGCACTCCGTTCAATCCCGGCTCCCGCAGAACCCTGACGATGACCTCCGTACCCGTGTAAGCCGTTGTGCAGTTATCTTGCACAGGTCCGAATCTGCCAGAGACGTTGCAAGTAGAGATTTCATAATCTGAAAAAGGAAAACCGTGTTCTCTTCTATGACATTAAACGAGCTTAAACAACTCACAAGTTTCGTTGGCAAAATCTTTCTGGACTTCCGAAGGTGGCTCTGTATTGGGATCCCAATAGTTGTAACCCTTCAACTCTTCGCTCGGTATATTCAGCCCGAAACATTCCGGACTGAGTGAGACGTCGTCGATGGCGATGTCGTTCACGAAGATTATACCTTTACGAACTTCAAAATGCAAGAAGTATCTGCATAAATCAAACAAGAGAAATTAATTAAATAAAAACGTAAGCATAGAGATTTTCTTTTGGTATTACTTGTAGGTGATGTTGGGTAGTACGATGACTTGCCGGAACCAGGGATCCGGGAAGCTGTTGAAGCTCCAAAATAGGTCGGTGGAAACGTTCTCTTTCGGACGAAGCTCGGTGACTTGTAGCATGAAACCACTTTTGTGATTGCTGGATTGGTGCAAATAAAAGCGGATCTGTATGGAAACAGAAAGAAAGATGTGGTTAGTTTCATGTTTACTTCCTGGTTTCATTTGCTCCTTATTACTCACCATGCAGGAATTGTAATATCTTGATGAGGTGTTTCCGTGCACCCTGGGCGGTGGATTAAATATGACGCTCTTCAGGGTTGCTGTGCTCGCAAACGACGCGTTGCTCCCTTTCACAGCTTTCACGTATAAATATTTACCTAACAAATAATTAAAGCACGTTAACTACTAAGTCCTACAAATATTATATCTTGAGAAACATTATTTACGTCCGAATCAACGTAGGAATTAAGAAATCTCAAGAAGTTGTCTCTTTAGATTTTAACATATTTCTCAACTAATATGAGAGCTACAGCAAATATTTAATATACAGCTTTATGATAAAACTCCAAGAAATATAATTACTTTATTGATAAAGCTGTATAAATCTTGTAATTTATTGTAATAATTGAAATCCCAAGTTGTGACTTTAAATTTTAACGTAAATCTTATTTGTATCCTTTGAGGATTTCTTGTAAATCAAATTTTGAATGGTTAAGTTGGATGCATCGCAATTTGGAGATTGCAAGTGAATCAAAATGCAAACTCACCTGTGCTATTGCGGTAGGTGTGATCGAAGACGGTGTTATTAGAGTTGGCAGCTGTAGTTTCGTTGTACCTGATCCACTCCAAGGCTTTTCCATCGATGTTGTACCATCCGCACCATCCGTGCTCAAAGTTGCATCTACCACCAAACGGTATTTTATCTGCAGCAAAGAACAACAAGAAAAAAGGGAATCAACATCATAATCTGGAGATCCAAATAAAAAGTACGAAATACCGCAATTTTGAGTCTCATCATCTCCTCTTGGACAATCGCTGGTGATGTCGCAGACCTCGCTGTTGCTTATGCATTCGTTCGTGTTGCTGCATTGGTATTGATTCGGGGTGCACGGTCCGCTCTTGTCCCTCTCCGGGTAACACTTCAACAGTTTGATGTTATCGAACGCCACCAATCCTTCGTAATTTCCCGCTTGAACCACCTCCAGCATCACCTGGAACTTCTGCGATATCGTGCCGATTGTCTTCTCGTACTTGATCCAACTACACCGCAAACAAAAGAACAATAATACAACAATCCTCCAATTTGATCTATGCAAATTCTAATTCCGAATTCATCACCTTCTGGCATCGTCGCCCGGTATCTGCTCCAGCATAACTTGGGTCACGTTATTCACGTTATGCACGTTATGCAAAACCACCCTCACCAAACTGCTGTTCATCTTCTCCTGGTACATCCGGAATTGAATTTTGCAGCTGGCTCGAGTCGGATCCAGCAACGGACTCGTCACCGTCCAATCCATTTCCTTCTTAGATTTCAGCCTAAGCAACAGAAAATGACCTGAAACACACACACACATTTTATTTCAGTAAGGTAAACATGGGAAAATCAGTAATAATAATTGGCGCGCTCGTTTAGCTAAAGTCCACAAATCCGCGTTCCTCCTCTCAACGATAGTTTGCAAATGCGTATTTAATTAAAGGTGGATTAATTAATTAAATATTGATTCGCGTCTAATGCCGCGAAATCTATGCGTACATATCGGAATGGTCGGAAAATAATTTAACGCAGATTCGTGTATCGTTCGATAAATTACAGCATTAAGGTAAGTCTCGATTGTTAAAATTCGTTTGTTTGCTCATCCGATTTGCGGTTAAACTGAATATAGATTCACCATTGTCAATTTTGAAATGCCGCAAATCGATAACGTATTCCAACGAACAGATCTATTCGCATTGTTTCAATTATAAATACATAATATATAAACGTACAGCAATTACGTGAAAATCCTACGGTTTAGTATTTCAATTCATTAATTTGAACTATAATAGTCGGAAAGATCTATGTTTAATAGCAAGCTATAACGATTCAACTGTTTTGTTGCTTCATACATTGATTTTCAATCCAATTATTTATGATTATAGCAATAATTATTATTACTAGAATATAATAAAAGAATTAGTATACTATTGATTTTGTATTATGAGAAGTATCAAAAACATATGATTTTAACTATGATAAACTCTTTGATTTTAATAACTAAAAATTTTCTATTATTGCTCCATTATGAAATAAAAGTTTCATATACATTTAATTAATTAATATCATTTTATGTAGTATTAGATAAGAATAAGTATTAATTAGTCTATTTGGAATTTCTTTATTTGAAATTTAAATTACTTAAGCGTTTCTAAACGATATGAGTCGAGAAGTAACGAAATTTAAAATAACGTCAGCAGTTTCTCTTGTGTGCTGGCTTCCTGTTTACAGGTAGTTTGTGTTCTTGCTCAATTGTTGTTTATATAATTATTATATATTATTATCGCTTTTTGTAAAAGTTTATAAGAAAGACATGGATTCTGACAGTGAGAATCATGATATGCCTATTGTAAACTTTAAAGAGCCCATCGATTTAAAGTAAGTTGTTAATACAGTATTTTTGAGGTTAAATTAACATTTCTTATATTGTTTTAGTAAATTGAAGGAAGGTAAAGATGTTACCTTCGAAGTGAATCTATCAGATTTCAAGAATGCTGAAGAGGATGAAGAGAAGAGATATGGAGGAGAATTGGCGGCTGAAAACCTGAACATTGAGTGTCTTGGGTTGCAAGATGACGATGAGTATCTTGATGCTGAGCCCTTTTCCATCCTCGCTGAGAAAATGACTAAGCTTGATAAAGATGGTTACATCAAGAAGAGGATTTTGAGGAAAGGTGTTGGTGATGTTGTACCAGCAAGCAGTGTTGTTTACATTGATTACAATGCTTATAGAGAATATGATGATGAGCCATTTGATTCAACCTACATTCGTAATAAGCAGCAGAGATTCTGTATTGGACAAGGTGAGGTCGTGGTGGGGCTGGATATTGGCGTACAGACGATGAGATTGAACGAGAAATCGCAGTTTTTGGTAGCACCGGAGTACGCTTTCGGCGCTTTGGGTTGCCTGGATAGGATCCCGAAGAACGCGACGATTTTGTACGAGGTCGTCCTGTCGAAGATCGTTGACTCCGGAGCGGCTCAATCTTTCGACGAGATCGCAGTCAACGAAAAGAAGGACTTCAAAGATATTTACAAATACTGCCTGGCGATGTGCGAGAAGGCCAAGGAGCTGGTGACGCAGAGACAGCTGTACAAAGCGGCCATCCGCGAATACAATAAGGTCTCCGTCTATTTGGAGAGCTGCAATTTGGCCGATTACGATGAGCAGATGGAACAGCAGAAGTTACTCTTGCGCGTCTACACCAATTTAGCTGTTTGCTATATGAAGGTGGATCAGGCCAAGAAATGCTGCACCGCTTGCAACAACGCTTACAAAATCTGCAAAGGTTCGAATCTATCTGTACCAACGAAGGTGTACTACAACAATGCCAAAGCGTTGATGGTTCTGAATAATTTGAAAATTGCCGAGGCGAGATTGAGGCAAGCCGCGGAGAAGAACAGAGATAGCCCGGAGATAGTCAGATGCTATCTAGAGTTGAGCAGAATGCAGGAGCAGCAGAAGGCTCGTGATAAATTGCTGGCCACATCTTTGGTAGCGGGAAGCGGGAATTTTAGACAGTGTGTGAAGAGGATGTGCGAAGGTCTGAAGATAGATTCCACAACGTCGCAGTACTCTCTTCCGAAATTGACTCTTGACCAGCAGACCATCGCCGAGGAGGAGGCCAAGAATCACGGACTGTTTTTCGAGCAGTGCTCTTTCGATGGCGATATTTATCTTCTCAAGAAGGAAATCAATGCTGTTAATGCTTAATTTTGTTTACCATTTCCAATTTATATTTTTATACAACCGTAATGGTATTTGTTTCGTTTAGAATTTTTTTGATATATTATTTGTTTTATATATATTTTCAACAGTTGTGAACAAAATGTATTATTTTATTTAGATTTAAGGAAACGAAGTATTATTATTTTTTTTTTTCTGTTAATAGAGGTTTAGATCTGTTACTTTTATTGTTGATGAATACTTTTATAATTAAAGGAAAAAGTACTGATTATATGCACTTTCACTCATTAATACCCTCATTACTATAATATCAATATAAGCAGTTTTTAAGCGTCGAAAAAGCACAGACTTTACATTTTTGATTATATCTCGATAAGTGTTTGCGACAAATTCATTTTGAAGAAACCAAATTAAAGCTAAATATTCACATAGTTATTCAATTTATTTACATTTTTGCTGTTAAAGATGAGCAAATTTTTGCAAAGCTATGAAGAAAATCAAGATATTAAACAATATAATTTCCATATACAATATTATATGTATGGATCAAAAAACTAAAAGTTGTTTAAATTTCATCAAAAAATACTCATTACATGTAGTTTTCACATTGAACTATGTCATGAAACGTTTTCACAATGGAATGTACACAAAAAAAAAGCTGTTGTTACGTTGCCGATCCGTGACGTGATGTTGCTTTTAATACGTGCCAATTAGTTAACAAGTCTTTGTTTTGGTGGAATC